TTGCGGGCGTACTTACATTCAACACTTGACCACGCTGCGCCTGCTTGCTGAGCGCTGTGGAAGCTCAGTCGCTATCATCAGTGCGGGGTTAAACTATTTGCTTTTTGGAGAATACCGTATTGTTTGCGGGTAGTTTTTACCGCGCGCTCTACTACCAGTCAACGTAAAACGTATAAATACGTTTCCCGCATACAATGTGATACTTCTGCTGTAGTCTTAAGTGGCGGGGTACACAAACCATGTACAAACCCAAAAGGAATCTATCCGTAGGAAACAAAAAACCCTGGAACATGGTGGTTGCCTTGAGGTAATGGAGTTTCGTGTGATTTTCTCAGTTTTATATATTAAACAGCCGTGTTTTGTAATTTTTTAAAACTTTTTAAAAATGTATCTTGTTGAAAGAATTACGCATAACTCCCTTTTTCCCCCCACTGATCCCCTCCACCCTGCATCCACCCCCCCTGCACACTGTTGTTGTCTGTGTCCATGGCTTATACATATATGCATATAAGTTCTTTAATTAATCTCTCCCCACCCACTCTCCCACCCTCACCTTCCCACTGAGATTCCTCAGTCTGTTCCATGCTTCTGTGTCTCTGGATCTATTTTGTTCCTCAGTCTATTTTGTTTATTAGATTCCACATATGAGTGAGATCATGTAAAACTGAATCAGGAAGAATCAGAAAACCTGAATAGGCTAATAACAACTGATGAAATTGAGGCAGTAATAAAAAATAAATAAACTCCAGCAAACAAAAGCCCTGGTCCGGGCCGTTTCATAGGGGAGCTTTCTAATTCTTTAAGTTGTAGGGTTAGGTAGTTTATTAAAAATTTTTCTTGCTTTTTGAGGTAGGCCTGCAGTGCTATGAGCTTCCCTCTTAGGCCTGTTTTTGCTGTGTCCCATAGATTTTGGGTTCTTGTGTGTTCATTTTCATTTGTTTCCAGGAAGTTTTTGATTTCTTTCTTGATCTTATTGGTAACCCGTTCATCGTTTAATAACATGCTATTTAGCCTCCACATGTTTGAATGTTTTTGAGTGCTTTTACTGGAATTGATTTCTAATTTCATGCCCCTGTGATCTGAGATGCTTGATATGATTTCAATCTTCTTGAACTTGTAGAGATAGTTTTGTGTCCTAACATGTGGTCTATCTTTGAGCATGTGCACTTGAGAGGAATGTATATTCTGCAGCTTTGGGGTGAAATGTTCTGTAAATGACAATTAAATCCATCTGATCTAGTGTGCCATTTAGTCACTGTTTCTGTGTTGACTTTTGTGTATAAGATCTATCCAATGAAATCAGTGGGGTGTTAAAGTCCACGACTATGTCGATTATTGCTGTTGATCTCTCCATTAAAGTCCTTAAGGTTATTATTGATATGTCCTTATTTATTGCCATTTTAATTCTTTATGCCAATTTTCTCTCTGTTTCTTATTATTATTACACAGTCCCTTTAACATTTCTTGCAATGCTGGTTTGGTGGTGATAAACTCCTTTAGCCTTTTTTTGTCTGGGAACCTCTTTATTTCACCATTTATTTTGAATAGATGGTGCTGGGTAGAGTAGTCTTGGTTTCAGATCCTTACTGGGTAGAGTAGCTTTGGTTTCAGGTCCTTGTTTTGCATTACCTTGAATACTTCATGCCATTCTCTTCTGGCCTGTAGAGTTTCTGATGAGAAATCAGCTGACAGCCTTATGGGAGCTCCTTTGTAGGTAACAGATTGCTTTTCTCTGGCTGCCTTTAATATTCTCTCTTTGTCTTGAATTCTTGGCATTTTAATTATGATGTGTCTGGGCGTGGGCCTCTTTGGATTCTTCTTGCTTGGGCTCTCTGTGCCTCCTGAACTTGTGTGGCTTTCTCCTTGACCAGGTTATGGATGTTTTCTGCTATGATTTCTTCAAACAAATTCTCTATCCCTTGCTTATTCTCTTCCCTTTCTGGCACTCCTATGATGCAAATATTGTTAATTTCATGTTGTCCCACAGCTCCCTTAGACTGTCCTCCTATTTTTTAATTGTTTTTTCTTTTTGGATCTCTCATTGAGTGATTTTTTTTTTTACCCTGTCTTCTAATTCACTGATATGATCCTCAGCTTCCTCTAATCTGCTTTATTTATTCCTTCCAATGTATTATTTACTATTTCCAATGTATTCTTTATTTCTGCTATGTCATTCTTAATTTCCTTCAGAGTTTCCATATCTTTCTTCATGCTGTTGAGCATACTTACAATCAGTATTCTGAACTCTATATTTGATAGATTGCTTTTCACCATTTCATTTAGCTCTTTTTCTGGAGACTTCTCTTGTTCTTTCATTTGGGTCTTGGTATTTTGTCTCCCCATTTTGGCTGCCTGTTTGGGTTTGTTTCTATGTATTAGATAGGCCTGCTAGGACTCTCAGTCTTTTGAGACAGTGTCTGGTGCAGGCCAGTGTCAGACACAGTTTGTGACTGGCCCTTAGTACCCTGTTTGGAGCTATCAACAACCCACAGCTTGAGGTCCCCTCTGTTGGGGCTGGGTACATTTGGAGAGGACCAAGATGCACACAAAGGCTACTTTTCCAAGGCCCGGGGCCAGAAACAGATCAGGCAAAGACTCAAAGCACTCTGAGGTCTGCCTCTGCCTGCAGGCTGATTAATCTGATTCTCTTAATGAGCCTCGAGCTGTAGAAACTCCTTAGGGTAGGGCAAGAGGTTTTCCAGCAGGGTGGGGCAATTGCTTCCCCCTCAGGCAAAAGCTGCTAGGAAGGTAAATGTCTGCCTCTGCAGTATGGGGGAATGACTTGGCACAGGAATCCAGAGGGGTGCCCTCTAAGCTCTTTCTCCAGAGCCCGCAACCCTAGATTCTCCTCACACAGCTCCAGTCCACTCTGCCCTCCCTCTGCTGGAGCCCAAGCTGAGCAGCTGCACACGAAACTTTGTGTGTTGGGTGGTTAACAGGGTCCCTGCATTCCCAGCCCTCTCTCTCTGGCAGACAGAAACCTGGCTGCTTTTCACAGCCATATGTTATGTGGGCACCTTTCTTAGTTCTGGTGCTCTTGACTGGGAAGCCCAGCCTGGGTCCCCTGAGTCCTCAGTAGAGCCTGGGTCCCCTGAGTCCTCAGTGGGAACCCCCCACAGCTGAGATATCCCATTGGACCTTCAGGTGCTGCCTGTGGAAGCCCAGCCAGCCCTCTGGCACCTCCGCATTTCCTACCAGTCTCTTTTCCTCCTTGGTTATGAGGGTGCTCTCTAGCTCGTCTTCAGTTGCAGTTGGTTATTCAGGATGGTTTTTCTGTATTTTAGTTGTAATTCCAGTTTGGTCTTGGGAGAGTGTCAGTGTAGCTTCCAGTCAGTCTGCCGCCATCTTTAATCTCCCAAAACTCACTTTATTTTACAATAAATAAGTTTGCACTATATTTTGTGAGAACTTGCACATTTAGGCCTTATATTGGTCATTTTTCAGTTTCCTTTCGTTTTCTACTTGGAACCTGCTAGGTGCCAAATTCATGTAGGATAGAGTTTTTCTAGGGGAAAATAAAACTAAATCAAATATTTAGTATAAAATTTATTTAAAACCAGTTTTATTGAATTACAGACTAATATTTCAAAGTTTGAACCTAAACTTCATCATAGTCTTTGAAAGTTACATTATTGTAGAGGAGGTGATACATTTGCTGTATTTGGGCTTTATTTGTAACTATTATTTTAATCATCTTTGATGCCATCAACTTTATTATTCAACATCATCATTGCAAACATCCATATTTTGCTTGTGGCTTCCATATTGTGCACTGAATTTTCCTCTTCCCTCTGCTCACTGTGTGTGTGCGCTTAAAAACTTACCTGGCTGTGCTTGCTGTTCCTGCTCCTGGCTGGCTGGCTAAAACATCCTGGGGTTAGGAGTGAGTCTGTGTCTGCTGTGCTGGGCTTCCTGTTAAATCACTGAGTGCTGAGGCTGTTTCTAGGCCTTGGGACACAAACTACTAAATTCCTTCTGTGCACTTTGCCCCTTGGTCTGTCTCCTTCTGTCTTCTACCTTGTATGCCTTTCATTTACTTCTTGCAAATGTGGCAAAATTTACATGGCCATTTGGGCTCGGGCATACCTTATTTTATTGCACTTAACAGGTGCATTCTTTTTATAAATTGAAGGCAAGACCCTCCACCAGCAAAAAGATTACAACTTGTTCTACTGCAAAACTCACTTTATTGTGGTCTGGAACCAAATCTTCAGTATCTCTGAGGTATGCCTATATTGCATTTGAATTGCTGCAAATAACGTACTGGGTAGCAGCTTCCTTTACCATTATTTTAAAATCACTATAGTTAACTTCTGTATTGATTTCTTATCTAGGAATCATTTTGGAAAACAGCAACCATTTGCAGCCAGCTTGTTGGGGCAAGTATAGGGGAAATACTTGTAGAGAAACAGCATTTGAATATGTAAGGGTTGGGAACAATTAGAAATCACTCTGCCTGTTTGTAGTCTTCTGCAGGTCATTCGTTTCCCAGCACTTCAGTTGCACTTGAGTGGAACAGCAATGAGAGCCAGTCAGGAGGACTTTGAAAATGCAATAAATCAGGTAAAACTGTTGAAGAAGGATCCAGGAAATGAAGTGAAGCTAAAACTCTATGCACTATATAAGCAGGTAAATGCCTAAGATCTGATATAATTTAGAGACGTTTTGAGCAGGTAGCTCCTCAAATAGATATGGTGTGTGTTTTACTGAAATTCAGCTTTACTATTTTTAGGGTTTGTTTTGCTGCCTTTCCTTTAAAGAATATATTAACCTAAAAATAAAATGCCAAAGTGAAAGGCAACAAGTATTTACTTGAGATCACAGAATTGCAATTTCAGGGTACAGATTCAAGCAGGAACACAAACTGAGTCCCGATTATAGGGTGAAGGCAAGGGTGTTTTATGAGAAAAGGAAGGGAAATAATTACATGAATAGAAGAAGGAAGTTTCTATTGGTGTTGGCAAGCTGAGTTACTAATTCTATCTTCTGGAAGATAGAATTTTTCCTTGTGGTCAGGATGTGTGCTTTCCTGTTAGTTTTACAAGTAATTGCCTTGGCCTAGTCCAAAAATTACTTTGCTGGTTCAGAACATTCTAAAGGTTCGAGGAGCAGGATGTGCAGGCAGTTCCCCTGCGGTGGCTGCTTTGGCTCTATTTTAAAACAGCTCTCACCGGTGTATACATGGGTTTGCATATTACACTTTCAAACCCTAGTTAGGCAAAAAGTAACCCCTCAGGATCACTCCAGAGGAAAAGAGACTTTAAGGATGTAACAACCAGGAGTGTAGACCTTATTTGGCTGCCATTAGAATAAATCAACTGAAAAAGTTGTTTTGAGAAAATTGGGGAAATTTGAGTATGGACTGAATAGTAGTATCTAGAAACTGTTGTATAATAGTATCATGGTTATATAAGAAAATGTTGGGGGTTTTCTGTGTTTTTTTGGGAATGCATATTAAGAATGTAGGGGTGAAATAGTATGGTGTTTAGGATTCACTAAAATTAAGCAAAAAAGAAAGAAAAGAATGGAGGAAGCAAGTATGGCAAAAATGATAGTTGTTGATTGGGTGATGAGTATTGGGAATTCATTATAATATTTTATTTTTGTGTATCTTTGAAAATTTTTGTAACAAAATTTTAAAATGTAGGTTTTTAAGTTGCAATGTCTAAAGACTACCCTGGGAAGTCAGCCCTCTGGGCGCCTGTGTGTTTCTCTTCCTGTGGTTGGTATGAGCCTCTCCTACCAAAAAGAGGTCTGGCCCTTGCCCCTGGCTTCTGGGCAAGATTACCTTAGATCATGTAATATTTAAACCCTTGAAATGCTGTGCCTGATAGGAGTGTCTTTGCCTGCAGAATCTAGCAGTGTGATTTAGAGTGGGACTGGCCGCACGATAAGTTGACACTGTGATTTAGAGAGCGGGGCTTCAGCTGCATATTCAGTGGTTACGGAGCTCCCGGTGAAAACTCTGAACACTGAGGCTGGAGTGAGCTTCCCTGGTGGGTGATACAGTCGCCGTGAGTGTTGTCACACACCAATTCCGGGAGAGGCACACTGTCCCGACTCCACAGCGGGGAGGGGCATGCTGCCCCCAGACTTCACCTTATGCATCTCCTCCCTTGCTGATGTTAATCTGTATTCTTTCCTGGCAGTAAGTTGTAATTGTGAATGTGACAGCTCTCAGAGAGTTCTGTGGGTCATTCCAGCAGATCAGCAGGAGCCCTCCAACCTTGCACTTGGCATTAGAAATAGGGGAAGTCTTGTGGACTGTTGCCTCTGATTTCTGAGGCGGCTAACTCTTGCAGTCACTTTTGTCTGTCTTTGGACAGTCTTAGCCTTGTTTATACTGCCTTTGTTTTTCAAAGCATTTCAGTCCTCTTTTAGCTAATTGTATTAAATATGTAATTTAACATTTTTAAATGTGATTATTAACTAGAGTTTTAAATTGCTTTTTTGAAGTGTAGTTGACTAGGATATTCTATTCATTTCAAAACACACATGCCACCTACCCTCAAGTGAAGTCTAGTTGCTTTTTACTGTCTGCTCACATGTCCTTTGGTTCAGTTTCCTAAGGGCCAGTGGCTCGGAGAGCCACCCTCCCCTCTCAGCTGCAGCTCTGTTGCTCAGTTACCAGAAATCCACCACTGTGCCAATGGCACATTTTGTCCGTCCGGTCTTTTTTCTGTTACTTGTGCAATTTTGGCAACATCAAAGAGAAGGCAAGGGGAAAGTTCAGATCAATTTATGTACTTTGTGAAAGTATTTGGGAAGGAAGGCACAGTCATCCTAGTTGTGCATTTTATGGATCTTAAAATTTAAGGCTCCAATTTACATGGACACTTGGCTAAAAATTGCCCCTCTCCTTTTCACAGGGCACTGAAGGACCGTGTAATATGCCCAAACCAGGTGTGTTTGACTTTATTAATAAGGCCAAATGGGATGCATGGAATGCTCTTGGCAGTCTGCCCAAGGTACATTTATTTACTTTTATTTTACTTGCTTTATCCCTAAAGGAAGATGGGAGTTTTTCATTATCAATCCATTATAGGTGGAGCCCTCAAGATCTGAATGTAACTCTATTGAACCAGAGCCTCTGTTCTTTCTCCTTTGCAAGTTGCTACTTATTAGCATAGTAAGTTTCTCAAAATGCTTATTTGTTGGCCATGAGCTTAAGTTATCTGTCATCTTCTCTTCAGGAAACTGCCAGGCAGAACTATATAGATTTGGTGTCCAGTCTGAGCTCTTCATCTGAGTCCTCCGTCCAGCTGGAGCCTGGAGCAGACAGGAAACGACAGGCTTATGAAAACCTGGTGGTGACCTCTGAGGATGGCATCACAAAGATCATGCTGAACCGGCCCGCCAAAATGAATGCGATAAACATTCAGGTGACATTACCTTGCCCAGTTCTTCCTCCTTTTTATTTCCCCCTCTGGCCATTGCACTCAAAAGCTGTAGTGTCTCGGCATCATTCCTGTTCTTATAATTGCTCGTTGGGTTTTTGCAGGAAGATTAGTAGTTGTGGCTGCTTCACACAGCAGAGCTAGGCCTTCATTATTTAGAATCTGTGAGCTTCAGGTAGGTTCTACATACCCAAAGGAGCTACAACTTTCCCAATGATGGAAGCACAGATAAATTAATGTAAATGAGACATATATTAATCTAAGAGAATGTGGGTAGAGGTTCTCTAAGGTTGGCGTAGACTGACCCCAGAAGTGTTTTCATGTCACTGAGGCCTGAGAGTGAGCACTGCTCTTCCTGCACAAGCTTTATTTTCTAAAGTAGAAGGAGAAAGGAGAGCAGGACTTCATCTTAAATCGATTATAACCCATCTCTGCTTTAAATGTGCTACTTCACAAGAGCAGCTTTAGTCTTTGAATCTGTTGTTGAACTAGAATGATAATAAAAAGAAGCATTTTAGCCGGGCCAGCGTGGCTCAGTGGTTGAGCATCGGCCTGTGATCCAGGAGGTCGTAGTTCGGTTGTCGGTCAGGGCACATGCTCGGGTTGCAGCTCAGTCCCCCACTGGGGGCTTGCAGGAGGCAGCCGATCTCATCAGTGATGTTTCTGTCTCTCTCTCTCCCTCTCCCCTCCTCTCTCTCTGAAATCAATAAAGATATATTTTTTAAAATAAATAAATAATCACTTTAGCTCTTTCACCTTGAAAAAGAATTACAGAAAAAAAAGAAAAAGAATTACAGGGAGTTAGTTGGATGCTTGGTGCTGAACTGGGAGTAAAATTTGAGAGGCTATAACCCCTTTCATTGAGCTTATCATCTGCATCGCAGTAGAAATAGCATACTAAGTTAGTCTTAAATAAGAATTCCATGAAGTTGGATATGTGCCATTCAATTAATAAAATATTTGATTCTCAGAACTGTTTGTCCTTTTATCCTGACTCATTTCTCTATTATCATGGTAATAATAATAATATGAGCTGCTCTTTACAGAGCCTAATATGTGTCAGCCCTTTCCACACAGAGGTTTGGTTAGTTCCCACAAGGAGCCTACTGTTATTATTTAACAGTAAAATAGTTAGGTGAAGTGGTAACCTAATTGTTCAAATTCACATAACTAATATGGAGGAAAACCTAATTGAAACCCTGATATGTCTGTCTCCCAACCCTGGCTCTTACCAGTTACCCTGCCCTGCTGTGTCATCATAACTATAATAATAATGGAATGACTTCCTCATTCCCTCCCTCAGTGAAAATGATTTGGCTTTTATTCATATATTTTGAAAAGTTCATACTTTTTTTTCTCAGTGTCTGTGTATCTGTAAATATCAGCCCTCTTCATCATTCTCTCCCACATTGAAGTCCCATCTAAGGTAGAAACTGTGCCTGTTTTAAGTGCATTAAAAGCTGTAGCAACTACACGTCCAAGATTTTCAGAGATGTTGCTGATTTAAAATATTGGGCCTGTTGTCCTTCACTATCCAGTGTCTTGGAAATCCCAGCTTTTTAACACTTCCCAGGGACAAGTAGGTTCAACACACCCAAAAGGAACTACAAGACTGACTACCAGGGACACTTGTGCTCTTCCTTGAGGTTACAGTTGAAAAATTGCTTCAAGGAAATCTTCCTCTGGCCTCCTCCTGTCATATCCATCCTAGACAAGTACCAGCACCTTCTCCAAGCTTCTTGCTACTTTGTGCTTTCCGCCCATTTTAGAGCAAACTCCTCTATTAATTCCAAAGGCTCAAGGATTGTGTGTTGTTTACTTTTGGAAAAAAGTGGATATATATCCCCCAGCATCTACTATAGCACTTGGTACCTAATACAGTCAATCGTAAAAGGAATGAAAATCCTTTCAAGTGTATTGGGTTATTTAAATACAACCAAAGTAAACATTTGGCACTTTGCAGAGAGAAGGCTCACAGCCTGACATTGAGGGACTCCACTGGGTGATGGTTACCATTCTCAGGGTTCTTTTTCTCATCTCCCCCCTTTTGTACAGATGTATCAAGAAATCATGCTTGCACTTAAAGCTGCAAGCAAGGATGACTCCGCCATAACTGTTTTAACAGGTAAGACATTTTCTTAGTTTTCTTTTTTTTTTTAAACAAGAGAAAATCAGAGTTTAATACATGCATGGGGAATTCACACAGACATAAATCCATGAAAATTCAAAAGACAGAAAGGCAATATTGGGTATGTAAGACATTTTGGACAAAGGGAAAAGGGGGGATAGTGGGGTATTGGAGTTCAAAGTGAGAATGGGCAATTTACAAGTAGTTGAAGAAAACTTTTCTTAGATTTCTTAATTAAATTTCTATTTTGGAGGATTTCCTATTAGATAGGAAATTGAGTATATAAGCTTTAAGATCCTGTCCAGTACTAAGATAATTTAACTCTTAAATATGTGAAAAACTTAATAGACCCAAAATGTATCTATAAAAAGCAGATACAAATTGGTAAGAAAAGTCTTATTGGTACTAAAATTGAGTACTTACAAAAGAGAAATGTCTTATGCAAGAAAGATAATCTTTGCAGCATTGCTTGTAGTTGTGAAAGCATTCTAAATATGTTGCCATAGTAAAATAATAAAGCAAATTATAGAGCATCCACTAGACTATATTGTACAAGCATTCAAAAGGATAATTGTAAAGACCAACAATATCTAAAATGTTTAAGATATAAAAAGCATTAAGAATTATATCAGTACTGTTATTATAACCAGAAAATATGACGGATGCCCATGGCCCTGGGCTGATGAAACCATGGAAAAGGAAAGTTGTTGAACTTGGAAGGGCCACTGTGCATAGTGGGGACTCAGATCAACTTGAGGGTAAAGCCTGGCTTCCCTCCTTACCTGCAGGTGACTTCTGCTTCTGAACGGGGAAGACACTGTTTTACTGACCCCATTGAATGGTTGAGATGATGCCATGAGATATGCGGGCAAGGGGCGTGACACACAGCCGACACTTGTTAGGAGTGGCTGTTACTGTTTGTAGGCATGGCAGAAGCAGGAGTGATTTTATTTTTAATTTTCCATTAAAATTTGTAAAATAAATATCTAGAGATATCAGATAGCTTTTAGTAAAAAATAGCAGGGGGAAGAGAGAAATCTAAGAATGACTTGAGGGAGGAATGAAGGGGAAGAATTGGAGATGGCCCTCATATCCCACGTGTATGCCCAGGTAATTTAGGAGAATGGGGACGGGAAAAGCAGTAATCCAGAAGTAGCATTGGTTTGATACAGGAGGAGAATGTTTTCTATTTTTTAAATTAACTATTCTTAAGTAAAATATAGACACCTGGTTTTTAAAAAACCAAAGAACTTGAAAGGTACATAACAAAACTAAATCTCACTCTCCTTGGAACCCCAAATCCGCTCCCTAAAAAAATTCAGTTTTCCTTGATGCTTTCCAAAAAGTGTCTGTATATACAAGCATGCGTGTTTGTTTCCCTCCACCGAAAAAAAAGAAAATAGAAAAGGAAGTATATAATACGCACATATTATACCCACCTTCCTTTCTAACATTTCCTGAAAAATTGTTCTGCCAGAACATACACTTCTAAGTTTTTCTCTTCAGGACTGCAAAGTATTAAATGGTTTGGATTTCATAATTTATTTCATCTTTCCACTATTGATGAACATGTAGATTGTACTTAAACCTCTTGCTATTGGAAGGGTATTGCAGTGAATACCCTTGGGTGTATGTCTTTCAACTAACATGCAAAATATCTATAGGCTATATTCCTAAAAGTAAAATTCCTGAGTTTAATAACAGTGATAATGGTTAATATTTATATAATACTTTCTGTTTGCCAGGCACTCTAAGCACTTTAATTCTTTTTAATTTTTCTAAGCTTTCTCGTAACGACCTTATGTGGCTAGGCCCTATTATTACTCTAATCTATAGGTAAGAAAATGGAAAGATTAAATTTCCATAAATTGTGCTTTCACTAGTTATTTTCTAAATATTCTATATTAGGAGGATTTGCCAAGGGGCTTGTTGAGAGTTAAAAACAGGTTTATTGAAAACCACCTGCAGGTGGGGTGCGGCTCAATGGGCAGTCACCACCCCGAGGGGTAGAGGCTGTTTTATACAGGGCTTAGTGGGACGGGAGGGGGACTGGGGTGTCGGGCAAAGAATCAATCTTGTTTGTTCTTTCCTGGAGTCAGGTACAGGTGTTCTCACTGGTCATTTGTGGTGTGGCAGGGGCTTGTGGTCACTTTGTGGGTTGTAGGGCGCCAAGTCCCACGTCTGCGTCTGTTGCCAAGTTCCAGCTTCTGTGGCTGCTCCTACGAAGATGGGAGTTTTGGACTCAGGTGGCCAGGGACCTTATACTCTTCACTTTTAGTTTCTGTAACCTCTTTGATCTAAGCATTACATAATAATAGTTCCTTTAATATCCAGAAAGTTTTGTTGGGGGTTTTCCATTTCTGTTGTTAATTCCTAGCCTTATATATTATAATCAGAGATGATCAGTTTTACTAATCTTACTTTTTCAGAATCTATTAAAATTTAGTGTATATTGGTATATAATATATATTGAAAACTCTATCCTGAAGATAAAAATGTAGAAGATGACCAATTTTTTATTATGTTATCCAGGAGCACTTCAAAAGTAAGCTCTGTGCTGTTTTATATATGTGATGATGTACAATATAATAAATGACATGGAAAAGTTTTTTAAAACTTTATTCTTTTTTTAAATTTTTTAATCCTTACCCGAGGATGTGTTTATTGATTTTCTTTTTGTAGAGAAAGGGGAAGGGGGGAGAGAGAAAGAGAAACACCGATCAGTTGCCTCCCGTATGTGCCTTCACTGGGGATCGAACCCGGAACGTAGGTACGTGCCCTGACCAGGAACTGAACACGTAATCTTTTAGTGTATAGGGTGACGCTCCAACTAACTGAGTCACCAGCCAGGGTTATTCTTATTTTTAAGGTGTAGAATTAAAAATGTAAGTTTATATTATTTTGATTCCCCAATTCTATTTTTTCTTCTGACTCTGTCTTGGAATGAAAAAATGATTTAAAGGCGTCTATTACCATTGTTTCTGTCCATTTCTCCTTTGTGTCCAAAAAAAAGCCTTTGTTATAAAGCAAGTTTTTATCATAATAGTACTAAAAGATTTGTGGTTAGGTCTTCACTGTGGAGTTTATCCTTTATTACCAAATGGCCATCTAGCTCACTTAGTGCTTTTTGCCTTGAAATCAACCCTGTCAAATAGTAATACCATAACACCTGCTTCAGTACTGTCTGCACTTGTCTGTAAACCTTTACTTATCTTTTAACTTTATGATTTTCCGAATTATTTTTTTTATTGGCTGTTTTGTACAGCACATTTTGGGGTTTTTCGACTTTGAGTGTCTGCATTTTTGTTGTAAAGGTCCTTTTACCTGTTAGATTTGTGTGTATGACAGATATGTTAGGTCTTAGTTCTGGCATCTTACATGCTTTCTGTTTATAATACTTCCTTTGATTGTTATTTTTTACTTCATGGTCCGTGTTTCTCGTTTCGCTAAGTGTGTTTTATTTTGGAAGTGTGTGTCATAGTTTGGAAGTTTTTCGCTGCTTTTAGTAATAACTTTTATAGTTGTATGTGGTACACATAAACATCTCTATCCTGTATTACTCCCTTTGGACAGTATCTGTTGGGTGCCTCTATGAAAGGCGAGGAAGTGAGCATGTATTTCCTGCTATCCCTAAACCTCTCTTCCAAGTATATAATCTGTTAAATAGAGCTACATTATTTTCTAGCACCAAATATTGCTGGGGAGAAGTTTGAGGCCACCATTAATTTTATTTTTACTCCTTTAAGACCACCATTTTTATCTCTAGATGACCATGGGATACTTTACTTTTTTTTTTTTTTTAATCAGTTTTTCCTAGGCAGTGCACGTCCTTTTAAAACTGATTATTAAGGCCTTATTTTAAGTTTTCTTTTATATCTTGAATATTTTTATTGCAATTGATCTGTTCTCTTTGAAAGAAATTGTAGTTATGGAAAAGAAATGTCTGGTCTACTGGATCTGTTACCTGTCATTTTCTCTGAATTCTTAACTCTGTTGTCTTCCACTTGTTTCGCCGATTTGTCTCAATCCTGTACTCCAGTGCCCTAACTGAGCTTTAGCAATGTCTCTTCTCCTTTGACTGCTTCTAATGGCATCATTTCTTTGATGGTTATGGTTTTTTCTTTCATTTTTTCCTGAACTCTCTCAGGCACCTTTTCATTTCTTTCTGTTGTTCATCACTTCTATTTTGAGTCCACAGGATATCTCAGCTCTTAATGTCTATATATATGGGGCAGGGGGGAGAGAGAAAGAGGAGATCACCATAAAAAATTTTGGAAAAATTTTATTGCTCGTTAAATTATTGAAAATACTATTTATGACATTATTTGCTCCTAGTGAAAACAGGAAAAAAAATTGAGGGACAAATGTATTATGTAATAATACTGCTGAAATCAATATAGCTCTTTGCTTCTCTGTACCCCACATACAACTGTGCAAAGCCCTACTAGAAAACAATCATGTCATTTGAATATTTCCTTTGAAACTGGCCCTTGAGCCCTTTCCAGTGTGATCTCCATTTTTGCTTAGGTCTCCACTGACCTTCGTATAATTAAATCCACAGACATGTTCCCTACTCCTTAAAGCACTGTCTTTAGGCTCCAGTGGCCCAGCCTGCCCTGGTTTTCCTCCTGTCCCTAGTTGCTCTCTCTGATATCCTTTGCAGATACATCTTCTATGTTGCATGAAATGGGAGTACTCCTGAAGGTTTAGCCCTAGGCACTCTTCTCGCTCCATGTTCTCCCTGCACTCTCTCATCCATGCCCTCACTTTAACAAAAGTCCATATGGCTGTGATTCCCATGTTGGTATCTTCAGTCCAGGATGCTCCGTAGGGCTCCAGACTGGTGTATCCACCTGGCACTTCTTCATGGGTGTCACTTCCCACATCTCTCTACCTGGATCTTCTTCAGTGTTCCAAATCACAGTGTTGGTTCCACATGTACCCTGTTATGTAGATCAGAATCCTAACATTCGTTATTGATATGTATCCCTTCCTCACTTCCCATTTCCAGTCTAATCCAGATTCACTTTATCAATATCTCTGGAATCAGTCTTTTTTCCCCACATCTTCTCTGCACTAGTCTAAGCCACCATGGACTCAGTCTGAACTGAAGTGAGCCCATATCTAGTCTGTCTGATCCTGTTACCCTCTCTCCCATGCCCAGTCCAGTCTCCTCACTACATTCAATAAAATCTTTTTCTAAATAAAAAGCTATTCTTCCTCCATTAATAAGTCTTCAGTGGCAAGAGATTGATCCCCTCCCAGGACCAAACTGGAATTACAACTAAAATATAGAAAAAACATCCTGAATAATCAACTGAAGACTAGCTGGAGAGCCCCCTTTAGCCAAGGACATAAAGTGGAGACCACATAGAGACTGGTGGGAAATGCAGAGGCACCAAGAGGGCTGGCCATGCTCCCACAGGCAGCAGCTGAAGGTCCGGAGGGATATCTCAGCTGAGGGGGTTCCTACTGAGAACTGTGGGGTCTAAACCCCAGGCTGGGCTACCCAGCTCAGAGCACCAGAACTGAGAAAGGTACCCACATCATAACTGGCTGTGAAAAGCAGTGGAGTTTCTGTCTGCCAGGGAGAGACAGCTGGTAATGCAGTACTTCTTAAAGGGCCAACACACAAAATTTCATGCGCAGCCACTCACCTTAGGCTCCAGTGGAGGGAGGGTGGAGTGGACTAGAGCAGTGTGAGAAAATCCAGGGTTGCTGGCTCTGGAGATACAGCTCAAAGGGTGGACATCTGGATTCCTGTGATGAGTCATTCCCCCATACTACAGAGGACATATTTCTCAGGTAGACCTTTACCATCAGGTAGCTTTTGCCTGCGGGGGGAAAGCAATTGCTCCGCCTGTTGGAAAACCTCTGGCCCCCATCCTTTGGAGTTTATGCCTTGCTGTGGTCTGCAGCCTGAGGCTCATTAGAGACTAAGAATAATAATCAGCCTGCATAAACAAGCAGATATCTGGGTGCTTTGAGTCTTTGCCTGATCTGCTTCTGGACCCAAAACTTGGAAAAGCAGACCTTGGTGCACATCTTGGTCCTTTCCAAATGCACTCAGCCCCAGCATAGCGAACCACAAGCTGTGGAGTGCCTAAGGTTTCAAACAGGGTACCCAAGGCCAGTCACAAACAGTGTCTGAAATTGGTCTACACCAGAGACCATCCGAAAACACTGGGAGTCCTAGTAGATCTACCCAATACATAGAAACAAACCCAAATAAGCAGCCAAAATGGGGAGACAAAAAAAAAAGCCCCAAATGAAAGAACAAGAGAATTCTCCAAAAGAAGGGATAAATGAAATGGCGATAAGCAGTCTATCAGATAGAGAGTTCAGAACACTGATCATAAGGATACTCAACAGCATGAGAAAAGATATAGAAACTATGAAGGAAATTAAGAATGACATAGCAGAAGTAAATAATACAATGGAAGGGATAAGCAGCAGATTAGTGGAAGCTGAGGATCACATCAGTGAATTAGAAGACAGGGTAGAAAAAAGCACTCAATCAGAGATCCAAAAAAGAAAAAACAATTAAAAATCAAGGGCAGCCTGGCCAGTGTGGCTCAGCAGTTGAGCATCGACCTATGACCCAGGAGATCATGGTTCAGTTTCCAATCAGGGCACATGCCCGGGTTGTGGGCTCTCAGTCTCCAGTGAGTGGTGTGCAGAAGGCATTCGATCAGTGACTTTCTCATCATTGATGTTTCTATCTCTCTCTCTCCCTCTCCCTTCCTCTCTCTGAAATCAATGAAGATACTTAAAAAAAAAAGAGGAAGGGAGCTTTGGGACAACATGAAATTAACAATATTTGCATTATAGCAATGCCAGAAAGGGAGGAGAATAAGCAAGGGATAGAGAATTTGTTTAAAGAAAAAAATGGCAGAAAACTTCCGTAATGTGGTGAAGGAAAAGTCACACAAGTTCAGGAGGCACAGAGAGTCCCAAGCAAGAAGAATGCAAAGAGGCCCACACCCAGACACATCATAATTAAAATGCCAAGAATTCAAGACAAAGAGAGAATCTTAAAGGCAGCAAGAGAAAAGCAATCTGTTACCTACAAAGGAGCTCCCATAAGGCTGTCAGCCTATTTCACGTCAGAAACTCTACAGGCCAGAAGGGAATGGCACTAAGTAGTCAAGGTAATGCAAAACAAGGATCTGAAACCAAGACTACTCTATCCAGCAAGGCTATCATTCAAAATAGATGGTGAATTAACGAGCTTCCCAGACCCAAAAAAACGCTAACGGAGTTTATCACCACCAAACCAGCATTGCAGGAAATGTTCAAGGGACTGCTATAATTAGAAGTAGAAATAGAAGCATTGCAAGAAATGTTAAAGGGACTGCTGTAATAAGAAGAAGAAATAGAGAAACATAGGCATAAAGAATTAAAAAGGCAATAAATAAGGACCTATCAATAATAACCTTAAGGACTTTAAGGGAGAGATGAGCAGCAATACAGTCATAGTCGTGGACATTAACACCCCACTGACTTTACTGGATAGATCTTCCAGACAAAAAGTCAACACAGAAACTGACTCTAAATGCCACACTAGATCAGATGGATTTGTCATTTACAAAACATTTTTCCCCAGAGGTGCAGAATGTACATTTCTCTCAAGTGCACATGGGTCATTCTCAAAGATAGACCACACATTAGGACACAAAACAAGTCTCTACAAGTTCAAGAAGATTGAAATCATATCAAAGAGATCACAATGTCATGAAATGAGAAATCAACTACAGTAAAAACACTCAAAAACATCCAGACACATGGAGGCTAAGTAGCATGTTATTAAACAATGAATGGGTTACCAAAAAGATCAAGAAAGAAATCAAAAACTTCCTGGAAACAAATGAAAATGAACACACAACCCAAAATCTATGGGACACAGCAAAAGCAATCCTGAAAGGGAAGTTCATAGCACTACAGGCCTACGTCAAGCAGCAAGAAAATTTTTTAGTAAACTAACCCTACACTTTAAAGAATTAGAATGCTCCCCTGTGAAGCTGTCTGGACCAGGGCTTTTGTCTGCTGGGAGCTTTTTATTGCTGCTTCGATTTCATCAGTTGTTAGTCTATTCAGGTTTTCTGATTCTTCCTGATTCAGTTTTACATGATCTCACTCATATGTGGAGTCTAATAAACAAAATAGACTGAGGAACAAAATAGATCCAGAGACATAGAAGCATCGAACAGTCTGATGAATGTAAATGGGAAGGCAGGGGTGGGGGAGTGGGCGGGGAGAGATTAATCAAAGAACTTATATGCATAACCCATGGACACAGACAATAGTGTGGTGAAGTCCTGGGGGGCAGGGTGGATGCAGGGTGGGAATCAATGGGGGTAAAAGGAGGGGATGTCTGTTATCCTTTGAACAATAAAGATAAATTTTTAAAAAATACAGTACAGGCCAAAAAAAAGTGAAAAGGTACTCAATATCATTAATCAAAGAAATGCAAATTAAAACCACAACAAGATATGTCACCCACTAACCTGGCTAAGATACTAAAACAGGCAATACCAGATACTGGTAATGATGTGGAACAACGTGAGCCCTTAGGCATTTCTGATATGAGAACACTTTGCAGTATTAGTTGGACACTTGTTAAAGAGTTATGCATCAGCTCAGTGACACACCCATGCACACTGGGCAGTTATTCAAGATAATTAAGGATATGTCTATTAAAAAAAACTTGTACCAAGAACAGTCATGGTAGCCAACTTCACAGAAGCCAAAACTGAAAACAACAAAATGTCCATCGATAGGTGGATAACAAGTTGTTGACTATTTGTACAATGGAATGCTACTCATCAATAAAAGGGAGTGGATAACTGATACAAGGACATGGTGAATCTTCAAAACATGGATGAGCAAAAGAAGGCAGACACAGAAAGTACATATTGTATGATTCCATCTAGATAAAGTTCTGAAATAGGCAAAACTGTGGTGATTGAAGCCTGAGAGCCTCAGAAAGGTGCTGGGTAGTATGTCTTGAAAGGAGCTTAAGGAAACTTTCTGGGATGATGGCTGTTTTGGATTGTGATCACACAGGTATTTACAGTTGTCAAAAATAATTGAACTGAGTGTTTAAAACTGGTCATTTTATTGTATGTAAATTATACTTTAAAACAAATAAAAAGACCTTCAGTGGCTCTTCAAAGGAAGGATCTCCAAAGCCTCCTATGCTGTATCCTACCTATCTCACCCTACATCAGCTCCCTGCCTCCGCACCCGCTGCTTTTTCTGCTCTGACATGGGGTACTTCTTTGAACCCATCTTAAACACCAGGGTTACCCCTCCACGGAACCTTTGCACGTGCTGTTCCCTCTGCGTGAATGTTCTTCCCACACCTTTTTCCTAGCTAACCCTGCCTGTCCAGATCGCAGTTCAGTTGTTCCTGCCTTAGGAAAGTCCCTCCCCTACACTCCCTGATTGAACCGTACCCCATTACATACACGCCTAGCACCGTCCCGTGCCCCTCCTTTGTGTCGTAGCTGCATTGCTTACATTTATTTGTGTGTGTTAAAATCAATGTCTACTTTACTCGCTAACCTGTAAATTGGGCAAGAACCAGAGCTGGTTCACCAGTGTTTCCAGTGCTTGGCACAGAACCTGGAACATAGCAGATACAGAATGAACGAATGGTGCGTTTGTTGGCTTTATTGACAGGAAACGGTGACTATTTCTGCAGTGGGAATGACCTGACTAACTTGATCGATATTCCCCCTGGCGGAATAGAGGAGAAAGCCAAAGACAGCACCGTCCTGCTGAGGTAAGCGGGCCATTCTCCGACCCCAGGGGCTCACCCGTATCCATCAAAGTGGTATCTAGTTGAGCAAAAGTGAAATAAATACTTCTTGCGTCAGTGTGACTGTGACGTTGAACAGGCATCTTTCTCCAGACTGCCTCTAGCGACAGGTAGGCTCTCATTCTGCCACTTTAACTTCTGTTACCTGTGCATCCGCTGCTCTACATGAGAAGTGACTGGAAAGCATAGAAGTAAACTACAGCAAATAAAGTAAATAAAATGCTCTCAGATTGAGGCAGAGGAATTTAGCAAATTATCATCCAGCCAAAGGAATGCATGACTTCCATGATTTCTGGTAATAGACGACTTTGAAGTAGTCTCAGAAAACACAAAGGATGCGAGGCTTCTGTCTTCTCTCTTGTTTATCCCCGCGGAGTCTCTGATTCCCTCTGAGCTGTGATATTGCAGCATATGCTCCATCGGCCGACTTAATCTCCAAGTCTACAGCTGCTTTCCAGTCCTGGCCTAACTGCCCAGAACCCAAGATCTGAACCAAGTCAAAGTATAGGACTCACTCTGAGCTGCCGTCGAGTGCCATTCAGAGGGGTGGCCTGGGTGAATCTGGTGCAGAAAGAGGGAGGCACTGCGGGGTCACATGGAAACACCCAGCCTGCCAGCAGGGTTTGTTGTTTCAGTCCTGCTGTCTTGCCTATAGTTCTGTAATGCTGCTTTGGAACATCTAAACATGCTCTTTTATTACTATTTCTGCAGGAACTTTGTAGACGCTTTTATCGATTTTCCGAAGCCTCTGATCGCGGTGGTAAATGGTCCAGCTGTGGGGATCTCCGTCACCATCCTCGGCCTGTTCGATGCTGTGTATGCCTCCGACAGGGTAGGTTAGCTTCCAGAAACTTAGGAAGTAATGCCAGTAAAAATGAGATCCTTTGAGCTCTCCTTTGTTGTTGCTAGGAGTAAACAGATTACATACTGTTTGTGGTTGAATGGACTCAATTTAAATTTTTCCCAAAGGATTAGTCTTACCAATTTGACTCACTTTATTTTGAATTTTTAAGTTGAATTTTTCTAAACACCAATATTGTTGTGAACATTGTTTCAACTCTTTGGGTTCTATATTTTAATCAAATTACACAACAGTGATTCAATTTTCATATTACTCTAAAATAGTCCAGAGACCTTGAAAGCTTGTTGGGAGAGGGGGTGGGGAGTAGCATCCTTGCAGGTTATACGAGTGGATTATTTGATGCTTTTTTCCCTAAGTAAATGAGTTCTGGAATTTAGAATTCTAGAATACGAAGGTGATTTTCAAGCACTGTCTACTTTCACTCCTTCCTTTACAGATAAGAAAACTGAAGCTCAGAGAAGTTACTTGCCCAGAACAATTCAGCCTTGTGTTCACCATTGAACTATATAGATTTTAGTATCAATTCTTACTTCAATAGCAATATATGTCACAGTAGAAAATAAAATTTTGAAAAATACAAAGAAAAAAGTTAAAAATCATTTGTTACCTCACCACTCAGAGATAACTAGTGCTAATATTTGAGTTACTTAACTTACTAATTTAACCAGTCTAACTGCTGAAACCCTTGGCTGTTTCTAATTTTTGTCATTAAGCAGGATGTGATGAGCATTTATCTTAGAACTTTTACCCTAGAACTTCTTACTGTAGAACTAGTAACTACTTCTAGGGTTATCTGATTATTAGAGTGATGCTTGCTTATGTGATGGTAAGATTTGCTGATCTACAACCTGGTGGGAAACGTGGTTTTTACCACTGATGAGATTCCCACTTGTGTTTGGAGGTGTTTTCCCCACCGATAGACAGGACTGTATAATAGGGTCCTTAACTCTTCGGGTTGTCTTTTACTGGATTTTCCTTAACCAGTTGGGCATGTTGGCAGATCTAAGTCTTATTAATAATTTTCTCATAATGGAAGCCAGTGAAATTCTAGGAACTACACTGCCTAACCTTTATATGTGGAAGTTCCTGCTTGAAGGCAGAAATCAATAGTCTTTGGTTACATTCTTTATGTTAAGTGACCAGTTAGTTGACCCGCTTTGAACAGGGCGGCATGAGGATACCTGCCTGAATTTGGGGGTCTCATTCCCCACTTCTCAGAGGGAAAATACCTTATTTGAATCTTGTCCTGATTCTCCCACTGTATTCAAAATGACTGCCATATACATTATCCTTTTAAAGATTTCCGGGACTTCCATCTTATGATATAAATTGGAATTAAAATTGAAATTAGAGAGTATATATATGTGTGTGTGTGTGTGTGTATAGCGTCCCCAAAAAATGTATACACATTTTGAATAATTATAAAGACATTGTTTATTAAAATACATTTCATTTTCAAAATTGAGCTATCAGCTGTTTACATTTGGGGGGACACCCTGTATACGTATTTTTTAATATATACTTAATATAATAAATATAAACATATATATTTTTAATGCTAAGAGATTTGACCCAAAGTAAAATATTTAACAAATAATGACTACTGCTTAGAGTTCACCCAACTGAATTAAAATAGGTTTAATTTTAAATTAGAGAATGACACAGACGTACGTAAGAACCAGTAGAGAGGAATTCTTTTTATAGGATTTATCATTACTAGCTTCATAAATAAATACCATATTAAACTTGGGTTAACATTTAACCCATATAGCCTGGCCAGGTGTGGCTCAGCGGTTGAGCATCGACCTAGGATCCAGGCGATTGGGGTTCAATTCCTGGTCAGGGCACATGCCCGGGTTGCGGGCTCGAACCCCAGTCATTCTCTAATTTAAAATTAAAACCTATTTTAATTCAGTCGGGGGCGTGCAGGAGGCAGCTGATCAGTGGCTGTCTCATCATTGATGTTTCTATCTCTCTCTCTCCCTCTCCCTTCCTCTCTCTGGAATCAATAAAGATATATTTTAAAAAAAAAACAAAAAAAAACATTTAACCCATATAACCAAATTATTCTTTGTTATGGGTAATAGTTAATTCCTGTTTCTCTATCAGCAGATGGCACATTTTCTCTAGAGTTAATAAAAAGATTGAAATCATTGAAATAATAATTCTTTGAGTACTCAGCTGTGTACCAGGTGCTCTCTTGCTGCCCATCGTAATAGTCACTCGCTGCGCACCGCAGTCCTGGGAGGTAGGCGCTCATCCCCGTTTTACGGGTGAGGACACCGTGGCACAAAGCAGTGAAGAAACTCGCAGTCACTGAGCATCTGACAGCAGAGCATCAGATTCAACCCCCACTGCACCTACAGATGAGCCAAAGGCTTCTCGATAATGCTTGTGAATAAGTTAAATGCTGCTCATCGCCACTTTGTGTGCGCCTGAACGTGGCCCCTTAGTTATGGTTGTCGGGTTTTTAGTTTTTATTTTATTTATTTATTTATTTTCGGTTTTCTGCTATGTTTCTTAGGCTGTGACTTCTCGGTATATTTTCTTGAATAAGCTTTCTTTTTGGAGGAGGAGAAGAGATAGAGAAGACATTAATAACTTTTATATTTTTATTATTTTGATTGATATGCTGCATACATTATATATTTACATCTAACAATAGTCATTCAATAAAAACACCATATCTGATAATAAGAAATGAAGCCTAAATATTCTGTTTACATATTGCCAATATTCATCAAGAAACACACGGAAATATTTCTGAAATATAAAAAAACTAAAAATGACTTATTTTAAACAACCAATATTGAAATAGTTTCTAGTATTTAAAGCCAATCAAAAAACCTCTGGGGCAAAATTTAGACAAATGACAGATTGAGAAAATAGTTTTTCAGCTCACATAATAAAGGCTAATCTCTAATATATTTTCTAAATACATCTAAAAAGTGATAGGTCACCAACTTAATATGAAAATGGGCAATGAAGGCACAAATAGTGCACAGAAAATAAAGTATAAATGGCTCTTAAAAACACACAAGAAGGACACCATTAAGAAAATGACTTGTGACCAGAATATATAAAGAACTCTTACAACTCAATAATAAAAAGATAAACAATCTAACTTAAAAATAGTGGGCAAAGTACTTGTAATAGCTACTTCACCAAAGAAGATATACAAATGACTAGTAAGTACCTGAAAAGACACACAACATTATTAATCATTAGGGAAACGTGAATTGAAACCTACTAGAATGGTTAAAGTTAAAAAGACTGATAATAACCAGGTTTAGCAAGGCTGGGGAGCAATTCGAACTCACACACTGCTGGTGGGAAAGTTAAATGGCCCACCACCTAAAGTTAAACCTTACGTTTGCCACGCAACCCAGCAGTCCCACTCCATGAGAACTGAAAGCATGTTCCTGCAGAGACCTGTGCGCAGATGTTCATAACAACCTATTTGTAAGAGCCAAACTACTGTGAATGACACCGAGCGCTTCAGCTGATGACAGGATAAACAGATTACAACACATCCGTACCATGGGCAAACTGGTAACACACACAACACGGCAGCTCTCAAAATCCTTATGCTAAGGACAGAAGCCTACAAAAGGCTACACCGTGTATGATTCAGTTTATATCTTGCTAGAAAAGTCAAAATTTTAGGGGCAGAAAGCAGATCAGAGGTTGTTTGGAAGTGAGAGGAATGGATGACTGCAGACGGACACAGGGAACTTTTGGAGGTGATGGAAATATTCTGTATCTTGATTACAGTAGTGGCTATGTAACTATACATTTATTAAAACTTACCAAACTGCATACATTAAAAAAGTGAATTTTGTGTGTATATAACAATAATCCTAATTTTTTTAAAGTTTCTCAACTTTTGTGAGAATATAGACAAATAATGATTTTTTTAAATCACATACAAAAATTATGTTCTTTTTCATTTTTTTCTCCAAATAGGCAACATTTCATACTCCTTTTAGTGACCTAGGCTTAAGTCCAGAAGGATGTTCCTCTTACACGTTTCCGAAGATAATGGGCCCAGCCAAGGTAACCTTTGGAAACCTTAGAGAGAAATTTTAATGACTCGTCTCTATTCCCAACGTAATCCCAAACTCTCTTCTTTCCCTCAATAATGCAACAAAAGAGAAGAAAGGCCTCTGCTCTTCAAGGCTTCAGAGTTTTCGGATGAAGAAGCGGGCTGTGGGAAATGTGTGGCGTGGGGAGCTGTCCCTTTCCGCCGGCTGCGGGGCCCCCCGTGGCCTCCCCCGTGCAGGGCGGGCCCGCCTCCCCACCGATAAGCATCAGGCGCTGGCAGTGACCCAGCGACATCTCCACTTTCAGAATCGTGGGGAGTAGCCGCCCGTGGGAGGCCGTGGGGCTTCCCCACGTCCAGTCACAAGAGCCTTTTCATCAGCTGGTTTTCTCAGGGTCTTAAGGCTCCTGGAATGGTTGGTGGCTGCTCAGGCCTGTCCCTGCGTTTATGAAAAACAGTTGCCACGCTGTGCACATGGCTCCACAGGGGTCATGCCGCGCCAGAGACTGGGGCAGGGAGAGGCTCAGCAAACGTTCTTCAAGATCTGAAAGGGGAGGAACGGAGCCTATTTTCATTGCCGTTAGGGTTTTGTTACAGAGGTTTTAAGTCTCTTTGTTCTGTCCCATGCCCTCAATTGTTTTAGAGATCTTAACTTTGAAACGTTGGGTAGAACCAACCCTAAGGCCTAGAAGCATTTGGCTATGAAATAGTCTTACTTTCCTGGAAGAGAAATTGCAAGCGTAGAGAACGATATATCTCAGTGGCCTCAATTTTGTTAGAAACTGAATATTAGTCTTACTTTCCTTCAGTCAAATGGAACTAACTCGAGTACCTGTGCAGGTAACAGAAACCCGTCAGAACTTGACCACTGGGTAGAATTTCCAGGGAAGGGAATCTTGAAAGTTAGGGATCCTAAAGGTTGGTTGGCATTTCTTAGGACCATGATTTTTTTTCTTTTTTTAATAATTGTGTATAGTGCATAGAACAGAAAATCCTAGCTCCCATGGGTTATAAAATTAGCATCTGCTTCAGGTCATTTCTGCCCCAGGCTCCTCTCCAATGTACACACACAGCGGCAGCAACCCCTACAAACCAAGAGAGCCTAAGATGGTCTCAATACACAGTTTGCAAACCATTGCCTATTGATGTCATCAGTGTCTCCCTCTGAGAAATACCAGCAACCTCCAAAGACCATAAGTAAATTCCCCTATGTCTACTAAAAGCAACTAATTCTGAAGTTAACTGAGCCTTGTTTCATTAAGTTATTTTCTTACTCTTGCTTTTCATTTCAGGCAACAGAGATGCTTATTTTTGGGAAGAAGTTAACAGCAAGAGAAGCGTGTGCTCAAGGACTTGTTACTGAAGTTTTTCCTGATAGTACTTTTCAGAAAGAAGTCTGGACCAAGCTGAAAGCATATTCAAAGCTCCCCCCAAATGTTAGTATTTTTTTTACTTGTATGAACCATGGAAGTAATTTATTTACCCTAAGAAAATAAGCAAAAAAAAAAAAACAAGACATATCATCTTAGTTGGCTTTAAGTTCATCTAAATTTGAGATTAAAAATTATCATCATAATGTTAGCCATACTGATTTTTATAAACTTATCAGATAGGTATTCCATTTCTGTGATCTGAAGACTGAGGGGCAATCCTTCTGGGCATAACTTTGAGAATGGTGGGCAGTGTTTGCCACATACTTTTAGTCTTGAATCTAGATGAGAAGCCAGATAAGAGAGGTTCCCTTTTAGGAGATTCTTAATGGAGCACTTTCATTTTCATGTGTGATAGCTAGTCACTGATAGACATTTTTGCTGCTCAAAATGCTATCCTGGGATCAGAAGCTGTAGTATCTGTCTCAGGTGATTTGTGTGCACATTAAAGTTTGAGAAGCACTGTCTCATACATATATCTTAGTGTCCGACTGGATGAGTGGACAGTGGAGAAACAAGAATCAGAATTTTAGAATAATCCCACTCTATTAGAATACCTCCTAACCTTATTGTTGGTTTTTGTTTTTTTAGTCCATGAGAATTTCAAAACAAGTCATCAGAAGTATGGAGAAAGAAAAGCTACATGCTGTTAATGCTGAAGAAAGTAGTGTCCTCCAGAAAAGATGGGTCTCAGACGAATGCATAAATGCAGCCATGAACTTCTTATCCAAAAAAGCAAAACTGTGATGACTGATGCAGCAAAGTTAAGCATTTCAAAGGAGGGGATGTACTGTGATTTCTGATTTCCAATACTTGAACTAAATTAACTTCACTGTGCCTTTTTTTCACTGATGAATCATCATTTATGATCATTATATTCACTAAGAGCCCTAATTTTTAAAATTATGTAAAACAAGCTTTAAGAAGTTACATAGGTTTGCCCAGCTGGCATGGCTCAGTGGTAGGATCCAGGAGATAGCAGTTGGATTCCCGGTCAGGGCACATGCCAGGGTTGCAGGCTCGGTCCCCAGTCGGGGGCGTGCAGGAGGCAGCAGATGAATGACTCTCTCATCATTGATGTTTCTATCTTTCTCTTTCCCTTCCACTCTCTGAAATCAATAAAGAGGTATTTTTGAAAAACGGAGATGCTTAAAAACATATTTACATAGGTTTGATGTTCAACTCCTAACTCCAGTGGAGCTTTGGACCACGTGGGGCCTCAGACCTCTCAACGCCTCTCCATGTGCCGGGCCTTGGCGACCCTGGCTGTTGCTCCCACCCTGCCCAGCAGCCAGTTGGTCATATAGAATTTGATGACACCATGCTAGTGGTTCTGCTGGGGTAGTGCTGTCACCTAACAGTGTTTGGGAATGCTGGGGCATATTTTTGGTTGTCATGGGGATGTATTTAGTGCCCAGTACCAAAAGTTGGTAACATCCAGGACAGTGGTGCCCAATAGAATTTCACCCATCTTTGAGAAACTTGTTGAACCTGGCACTCTTAGCCTTCCACATCTAATTTTTATTCCCAAAATAGAATTACCCAAGTCAAAAGATGCATTTTTTAGAATTACAGCTATTATACAATTTGAATTTTGTTAGGTGTGTGGCATTTATCTTAAATCCCCACTTGTGGAAATGATTGCTTTCCCCGTAAGAATGCTGGTGGAAACTGAAGCAGCTACAGTTGCTCTCCTGCTACACTGATGCTACAATAATTTTTCTTTTTAATTATTGAGGTAGCAACAATTCTGTACAATAGTCAAGTTAATTTAAAAGGTGCCCTATCCCTAACCATCTTTTTTTTTTTTTTTAGCAAAATTACAATTTAATATTTTACATAAACAATCAATGGGAAGAGGTGGGCAGTACATAGGGTGCTTATTTTGGATGCTCCGAAACTGTTGAGAGCTGTTTTGTAGCCAGTGGTTTTTAGTATGCAGCAGATTTGTTACACTTCAACACCAGCTGAGGGATTCAAAGTTGACTCCATAAAAATCAAGGAATTGGGGGAAAGGGGTTTTGGAGAGATCCAAAATGACTTCTATAGCACCACGACGTAGATAGCTTTATTGTCAGAGCTTTCATTGGAGTGGTAAGCGTTTCGTGAAAGATCATTTTAGAACTTACTCTGAGTCAACCACTGATACTTTAAAAAAAATTAATACACTAGACCTATTGCAGTCTTTTGAAATTAGCAGTCTCACCATATCACACACATAATAGAGCATAATTTTTCCATAACCAGGTACCTCTTGCTGCCTTTGAGCAAGACTTTTCCTGCTTCGATTTTAAGCGTTGCCAGAAAGAAGAGCCCGTTCTGTTCGTTAGCCTGTAGCGTATGTAGCCTGGCAGCTCTCGCAGCATCCCTGTGACGGGTCTGCCTGGAAACCGGGAGGGCTGGCTGCTTCCTCGGCTCCAGCGTGCGGTTTGCACTCCTGCCTGTGAGGAGCTTCCTGGCTTGTGATTGTTGACTTCAAACTAGTTTCACAAACCTACGGTAATTATCTGACATCCTGTGCAGAATAATTTTTAATGTCAGATACAGTGCACTGCACATACTGCTTTTGCACCATTTTAAAAATTCTGTACTAAATAGAAAATATATTCCTAGAGCGTGAGCTTTAGATGGCATTGTCACTTTGTTTTTTAACAGAAGTTTTTTTCTCAGTTATTCTATTGCAATGTTATTTTGAGCAAATCCTATGCCAGCGTCGTGTGTAATGTCCGTGTGGAAGGTTAAGGTTTACTTTTGTGTGGTGAGATGACTCAGTTAGGGCTTCACGGCTGGGCTTTGGCATCCCCAGCACAGCATCCACGGTGTGTTCAGAAGTCCAAGTTGGTGTCATGCGTTTCATTTGGATGTGAACCTTGCTTTCCTTTAAGGCTGCATTTTGCAATAGACATTTTTACAGTAAGAAAAAGAAGAACTTACGTATGTTTTTGGTGGTGGGGAGCCTTACATCTTTCAGCATGAATGGCTGTTGCCAGGAGCAGTGCAGCATCGTGCCGGGCGTCCCGCCTGGCAGAGCGCTCACGGCCTTGCAGGCCGACGCCAGGCTCTCAAACACCACTATCGCGCTTTGCCGGCCACAGGGCTTCACTGACTGAATTGGCCCAAACACGGACAGCCTCCGGATCACTGACTGAAGATCTTCAGTTGGTTGCATATTCCTTTTCAGCCATCTAGCAAGGGAGCAAATGGAAGCAGTATATTACCAGAAAATAAAAACCGTTTTCATTTTTTCTCCATAATTTAACAAACAGGCATGAAGGGAAAATTGCATTATTTCACTGGAAAGCAGTGTTCTAGATCAGTAATTTTTTCCTTATTTTTATACAGGGTGGAGTAAATGTAAGTTTACAGTTGTTCATATGGAAAATAAGACAATAATTAATAGTAATACAGAAATAAACTTTCACATACAACTGTAAACCTACTTTTGCCCCACCCTGAATAGCTTCATTCTTATTTAACTTGGTATTTTATAAAAGGCACACCTGCAAGCTGCTTTAACTGTCCTTGAAACTGTTTTGACTACGCCATATGTAGCAACTGAAAATGATGAGGGGATCATTTCAATGGCTGCAAAACTGGCATAAAATATTTTGCTCTTCTAAATATCTTCCTTCCTTTTTAACCTTCAAGTATCAGCATCCAGGTAGCCAACCCAACAAACCTTTAACCTTTTAATTTCAGTAATCCTAATCCAAAATGTTCACTCTTATAGAACGTACATGAATTGTAATAACCATGTTTATTGAGTACTTACTGTCTGTTACTAGTGCTTAATGCCCATAATCACATTTTATTTTCAAAAAACAATGCCAAAAATTAAAAGTAGGTAATGTTGCTGCTACCATTTCACAAGTAGGGATCCAGAGGTGTAGAGATTTAAATACCTTTTCCAGGGTCAAACTTCCATAAGTGGCAGAGTTCCAGTTTCACTGTGTCACCATGAGCCAGTGACCACCTATCTCACTAATTTCAACCAAAATCTCTTGAAAAAAATATGAAATATTACTTGAGGATGCTGAAATTGAAAGCAGATGATTGTGGTGGGGCATCAGTACGGAGAATCATCTCACAGGAAAGCATCAGACTGCGGGGAATAGTAAATGATTGCTGAGATCTCTCCTGAGCATGTGGAGCAGTGTGGTAGTGGCCATAATGCGGCTGCTAAATAAAATCTGAGGTAAGGAAGAATGTCTTTCTAACTAAGAAAAGTATCCCGTAGGGGCTAAAGTGAGAGTGAGAGGAGAATCCCCTAGCAGAGAGAAAGAGACCTTCCCTAATTCTGTGTAGGAACCACACAAGGATCAGGTTTATGAGTGGGACAGACTCAAAGCATTAAAGGCTTTGACAATTGAACTGGCATTTTAACCACCACCCACACAAGATCAAGCGAAAGCTTGTAGTATGATCCTGACCAGGTTGAAAACAAAGCATAACGTTCTCCGGGTCATCTCAACAGGAGCCAGGGGCCGTGCAACACAATATTTATAATGCCCATGACACAATCCAAAGTTATTTGACATACAAAGATATAATAATGTGAACACTCAGGTGACAAAAGACAACACATGTCAATCCTGTGTTGACCCATAACTGCTTCACAATCAAGAACCACACACTTGAGGAAAGTAATGTCAGCTTCATGGTGGAATAAGAAACTCCTTTGTATCTTCCCCTAAATTTACAAGTGGGACATCTATAATCCAACAGAAGCTCATTTGATCAACACACAGACATGCCTGAGAGGGCCACACATTAGTATATCTGCAGGCGGGTGCATCGGAGTGTGTCTGCAGCGGCAGGTCAGCAGCTGCTGAAGTGGCAGAGGAGGACTCAGGGTCTGGACCTCAAACTGCAGCCTACACACTATGGCCCACCAGAGGGTAAGGGGCAGGAGCAACATCAGTGCCCAAGAAGCCACTGCCCCCACCACTGTGAGGAAAAGGTAGCAGCACTGAGAAACACTGAACAGCACAAAGGGCTGTAAGCCATTAGCGACAAGTCAGCACTGCTGCAGGCTCGTGAGCCTGGCTCGCTCTGCCCTCCACATCCCCCCCACCATGGAGGCAGTGCCCTGAGACCAAGGTGACCTGGACAAACCCACCACCCCCATCGCCTAGTAGTCAATTTCCACGACAAAGGAACCCCCCTCTAATCACAACAGAGATAAGAGAAAACAAAAATTTGCACTATAGTGTTATCTACTGGAAAGCAAAAGAAAAACTTATAATTATCAACCTGCTGAATTGTTATGGTCAAAACAGTAACTAAACAAGAGCCCAGTACTTCAAATGTGCCAGCAGAGGAACACTACATCCAGTAACACGGTAACCCAGAAAGAAAATGACAAGTCTCCAGAAACCAAGCTCAAAGTCACGAAAGACTGTGATTTAAATGACAGAGAATTCAAGATGGCAGTTTGAGGAAACTCAATGATATACAAAATAAATTCAGAAAGGTGAGTCAATGAACCCAGGAAGAAAATTAATGAACAAAAGAAATACTTTACCAAAGAGGTTGAAACTATAAAAAATAAACAAACAAACAAAAAAAACAAAAACAGACAAATTCTGGAGCTGAAGAACTCAATAAATGAGATGAAAAGTGCATTGAAAGCACCAGAAACAGAGCAGACTGAGTGGAAGAGAGAATTAACAAGCTTGAAGACAGGAATCTAGGACTGACTCAGGTAGAAGGAGAGCACTGATTTGTTTTTAAATGAAAGAACTCTACAAGAACTATCTGACTCTGTTAGAAAAAAACAACATATGGATAATGGGTATCCCTGAGAAGAAGAGAGGGAAAAGGGAATAGGGCATATTGGAAGAAATAATTGATGAGAACTTCCCAAACCTAGGGAAAGAGCTGGTTGTTCAAGCGCAAGAAACTAACAGACCACCTAATTATCTCAATGCAAAAATACCTTCTCAATGCAAAAACACATTATATTAAAACAATCAAAAGTTAATCTTTAAGAAAGAATTCTCAAGGCAGCCAGGGGGGAAAAGACAGTATCCTACAAAGGAAACCCCATCAGATGTATCAGTAGAAATCCAAGAGGAGTGGAGAGGGTGGAACAATATATTCAAAATATTGAAAGAGGGAAACCACCACCAAGAATAATATCCAGCAATCTATCCTTTAGATATGAAGGAGAAATAAAGATTTTTCCAGACAAAGAAAAGCTGAGGGAACCTACTACCACAGTACTTGCATCACAAGAAATGTTGAAAGGAGCTCTTCTACCTGAACCACAAAGACAAAAATATACAAAATTTTGAGTAAGGTTACAGACAGAAGCAGGAAAAATGCAACTTTTTTTCAGAATAGGGTAATAAACACTTAATTATAACATAATTTTAAAGAGGAAAAACATTAAAAATAACTATATCACAATTTGGTAACAAATGTATAACATAAAGAGATAATTTATGACAACAAAACATAAAAGAAGAAAAGAAAAAGGACTAAATGTGTACAGGCAAATGAAGATGAGATGCTCGCAAAGGAAAAGGACTATTTTGCCCGGCCGGCGTGGCTCAGCGGTTGAGCATCAACCTAGGATCCAGGAGATGGAGGTTCGATTCCCATTCAGGGCACATGCCCGGGTTGCAGGCTCGATCACCAGTAGGGGGCCTGCAGGAGGCAGCCAATCAATGACTCTCATCATTGATGTTTCTATCTCTCTCTCTCTCTCCCCTCTCTGAAATCAATAAAGATACATTTTAAAAAAGAAAAATGACCCCAGCCGGGCGTGGCTCAGCGGTTGAGCATTGACCTAAGATCCAGGAGATCACAGTTCAATTCTCGGTCAGGGCACATGCCCAAGTTGCAAGCTAGATTCCTAACCCAATCAATGATGACTCTCTCATCATTGATGTTTCAACTCTCCCTCCCTCTCTCTGAAATCAATAAAGATTTTTTTTTAATTTAAAAAATAAAAGAAAAAGGACTATTATATCTTGAGGCATTTTATATAAATTACATGCTAACCATGAAACAAAAATCCAGAGCTGAGACACAAAACATAAAAAAAGAAGACATGGAGAAAAACAGCATAGAAAACCAACAAACTAAAATATCAGACACAAACACAATAGAAAGAAACAATGGAGATACAGAGCAACCAGAAAACAAAAGATAAAATGGCTGCAGTAAATCCTCGTATATCAATAATCCCCTAAATGTAAGTGGATTAAACTCACCAACCAAAAGGCACAGAGTAACTGGCTGGATTACAAAACAAGACCGAACTATATGCTGCCTTCAGGAAACACCTCAGCGCCAAAGGCAAACATAGGCTCAAAGTGAAGGGATGGAAGTTGATATTTCAAGCAAATGGTATCCACAGAAAAGTGGGTGAAGCCATACTTATATCAGACAAAATCAATTTCAAGACCAAAAAATGGTAAAAAGAGACAAAGATGGACTTTTTTAATGATAAAGGGGAAAATACATCAAGAAAACACAAAAGTTATTAATAATGTATGCACCCACTCAAAATATATACAGTAATAATTAAAAGACAGAAAGGGGGACATTAACTGTAATACAGTAATAGTAGGGAACTTTATTACCCCACTAACACCAGTGAATAAGTCTTCTAAAAAGAAGTCAGCAAGGAAAATCAGCCTTAAATGACACATTAAAACACATGGATTTAATAGATATTCCTAGATCTTTCCGCCCCAAAATGACAGAATACACATTCTTCTCAAGTGCACATGGAACATTCTCAAAGACAGAACATGTTGGGATGCACAACAAGTTTCAATAAATTCTGAAAAGTTGAAATCATTACCAAGCATATTCTCTGACCACAAGAGCATGAAACTAGAAATCATCTACAAGAAGAAAGCTGGAAAAATCACAGATATGTGGAAATTAAACAATATCTCACTGAGCAATTGGTCAAGGAAGAAATAAAAACATACATAGAGAGGTGTGGACAGAGTTTTCAGTTGGTTGGAGCATCATCCTGTACACCAAAAGGTTGTGGGTTTGATTATCAGTTGGGGCACATACCTAGGCTGAGGGTTCGATCCCTGGTTGAGGCATGTACAGAAGGCAACCAATCAATGTCTCTCTAACATCAATCTCTCTCTCTCTCTCTCTCTCTCTGTCTTCCCCTTTCTCTAAAATCAATACAAGCATATCCTCAGGTGAGGAT